TTCTAAATTTCTGAATTTGTTTGACTTTATTTGAAATTATTTCCACATAATTTAATTTTTCTTTTAAGTATTTTTTAATATGCATAAATTTAAAAATTATATATCATAAATTTATTTCAAGTTTAAAGTTACCGTCATTGAATGCAATATATAATTAAGAATTATTTAATTTCTAGAACAATATATTTTTATTTAGTGAAAATAAAATAGAAATTAGTGATTATGGTAAATTATTCTTATAAATTATAATTAATTTAGAATTAATATTTATTAATGAAAATAATTAACAATCTATAAAATATTCATTCTTATACATATTTTAGTTAAATAGTCATTCTTATAAAATATTTACAATTAGTATTACTTAATCAAAATCATTAACAATCTATAAAATAAATAGTCATTAATAATCTACAAAATATTTATTTTTATAAATAATTTTTCTTAAATTTTTCATAATTAATATTACTTAATCTAAATTATTCACGAGCTATTTTTATAAAAATTTTAACAACTAATTTGACTTAATCAAAATCATTAAAAATCCTATACAATAAAAAACTATTTTAAAATTTAAAATATTTGTCATCACTATTTCATCTTGATTCCTCTCGAAACATTGGCCAGTCAACTCTACCTCATCTTCATATTTGACTTTGTGTGTTTCAGGTTTCTTTTTTAATCCTTATTGTCTTGAACTCTTACGTTTTTTTAAACTAAAATTTGTAGTTTTTTTTGTTTTTGACTGTGTTTTATATATATATATATATATATATATATATATATATATATATATATATATATATATATATATATATAGTATTTCAATTAATCTCAGTATCTGCAACTATTAATTGTCGAGATTAGGTTTATCACCCTTATACAAAATCTGATTATACCATATCTGAGGGTGATTTTTGACCATTACAGATTTCATATTTTAAATATATTAAGGAGAAAATTTATTATTTTAACCTATGGTTAGAAGTGATTAATTGAATTACATTATGTAAATCACTTTACACTATCCTCCAATTAGAATTATTAATTTTAATATATATAAATATAGAATTAAAAAATTTATAATTAAATCATTTTAATAATTAATCCACATAGAAATAAAAATAAAGTCATTGTTCTCATTTTGATACTGAAAAATGCTTAAGACAATTAAATTTAATTTCAAAATTGTTATATTTTAAAATTAAAATTCTAAAATTTTAAAATTTATAATTAAAATATGTAACAATGTGTAACAATATGATTTTGATAGTGCAATATGATTTTACATTTTGATAGTGTATTTTAATTAATATATTTATAAAATTAAATTAGTCAAAACCCTTGAAGATTTACGAGTCAATTAATTAACCTATATTAATTTTAAAATTAATTTTTAGAATAAACAATTTCATAATATTTTTCTACAATCATAATGCATAATCCTAATAAGTGTTGAGACACACTTCATACTCAAAGTTTAGTTAGGATAATACTAGAAAATAATAATTATATAATCAAATCTAGATTTGAATAGTAAAACAATTTAACTATCAATTAAATAATAGCATTTGAAAATATATATATTGAAAAACTAGTTGTTTGCAATTTAATATTGGGGAAATGGGGAGAATTTAAGAAAATTTCAAATTATAACTCAGCATGCTTCCAAATATTGAAAAGAAATAGAAAACTGTCTCACTATAAATAGTATAGCTTATCATGCATTTGTTGGCTGCATATTATTATGATGTTTTCCACAAGGTATTTATAAATGGTTGTCTTATATATTAAATAGTTATTGTATCACATAAATCGCAAAACTAACTCTAATTTCAATCACATTAAGAAAAAAAATTAAATGGTTGTCTTAAATATTAAATAGTTATTGTATCACATAAATCGCAAAACTAACCCTAATTTCAATCACATTAAAAAAAAATGACGTGTCTAATTGCATGCTAATTAGTTGTTGAACATGCTACCTTATTCAATTGTTGCTGCTATGTGTCATGATAAATGAATAGAGCTCAGTTGAATCATGAAATAAATTTGATTAACATATATAAGTGAAAACAAAGTCACACTGTTCTCATTTTGATACTGAAAAATGCTTAAAACATTTAAATTTAATTTCAAAATTGTTATATTTTAAAATTAAAATTCTAAAACTGCTAAAGCTCAAAGTTTATAGACCTTAATACTAATTTTCACATTTTCCAATCACAAGTTTTGTAAGTTATGTAATGTAATTTGTTAAGAATAAATCATATTCGAGTGAATACAAATCCATGCCATTAAAGATACACATGGTTATGCAAAAAAGGCTTGTACAGTCTAAGTTTGTATTCTGTATGTGTATCATACCAAAACAAGTCATAGTTATTATATTCCATTATAGTTGCAATTAATTAATTTCAGTTTATTCAAAAATAAAAATTCACCTCAACCATAGAGAGGCAATACTTTAGAACAAGTTTGTTCCAAATTTGAGAGGCAATACTTTAGAATAAGTTTGTTCCAAATTGATAACACATTAAATTATTATAATTCAAAGTTTCAGCACATTAAATTATTCTTTAAAATATTATTTTAACTATTTTATCATAAAATTTTTTTAGATAATAAAATTTTAAAAATCACTTAATTTTAAAACTATATTAAATAGTTTTTAATAAAAATTATTTTTAAAATATAGTTTTTTTTTTAAATTTTGATTTGAACTATATTTTACTCTTGAATAATGTATGTTTATATTATAGGACGTCAAAAATCAATTTTTCAATTTAGAAAAAACGAATTTAAAAAATTTGTAATATCTTAAAAAAATACTTTTATTAAAATAAATTTTAAAAATACAATTTTTTTTTTCAAAACTAAAACAAACATTTTCTAACATACTAATTATGATTCATTAAGGTTCAAGTTTGTTCCAAACTATAATCATAATGTTTGCAATTTGAGCACTATAGTATCTAATTGCTAGCACAATCACTACTACAAAAATATTTTTTAATAGCGCTTTTTTTGCTTTTTAATAGCGCTTTAAAGCGCTATTAATCAAGGCGCTATTGTAAAACAAAATTTTTAATAGCGCTTTAAAAGCGCTATTATAGTTCTGGTAATTAATAGCGTTTTTTCAAAAGCGCTATTATAGGACCTGTATTTAATAGCGCTTTTACAAAACCGCTATTATAAGTCACATATTTGATAGCGCTTTCAAAAAAAGCGCTATTATAGCACCGGTAATTTGCTTTAATTTTGATAGCACTTTCAAACAAGCGCTATTATAGTACACATATTTAATAGCGCTTTCAAATAAAGCGCTATTATAAGACACATATTTAATAGCACTTTCAAAGAAAGCGCTATTATAATCCACATATTCGATAGCACTTTCAAACAAAGCGCTATTAAAATACCGATAAATTGCTTTGATTTTGATAGCACTTTCTAACAAAGCGCTATTATAGCACGCTCTCTTCAAAACACTATTGTAATACACTTTTTTTTTTACACCAAATCATTTTTTTTGTATATATATATATATATATATATATATATATATATATATATATATATATATATATATATATATATATATATATATATATATATATATATATGGCATTTGCATTTTACGATATTACGAAAATTATAAATGATTTTAAATTACATGGATAATATTGTATTAGATTTGCTTGGTCTAAACCATATATATCAATACACATAAGATCTGAATTCCGAACAACACTAGTTTACACTTGACAGTGGAAATTTTTCAACAAAGTCAGTAATGAGAACCATTAACTTGTGAAAGGATAACACTGAAACCATCTTCTTCTGTAACCTTCAGCAATCCCTGCAAATATATAATTATTTGTTATTTAATCATGCATGCACCATTAATATACTTCTTACAATTCAATACATACATACATGAATTGTATACAGTTCTTACCAAGGTAGCATATCACAGACAATGAGACCACCATCTTTTGCAGTTGTAATTCCAAGCAAAGAAGAACTATCTATATGCTTCCAGTTCTCCCAATTTCCATTCCTAACCAATGAGACCACCATCTTTTGATAGTACTGAGAAACCTGTCAAGAACATTTATATTAGAAGCAGTACTGAGAAACCTATCAAAAACCATCTTTTGACACATAAATATTGACAGTACTGATGACAACTGCAACATGCCATATTAAAAATAAATAATTACGAATTTTGAAATATCACTTATTAGTATTATTGTAGCATATAATAAGCATTAAAATAGCAAGAGTTATTTGTTCTTACATAGTAAGCAGTGACGGTGCCTGCAGAGTTTCCAGGTACAAGCTTGATAAGTGTGAGAACTATATGTATGAATAAGTACCGAGCCGGAAAGTGAGGTGGCATGCTTGCACACAAGGGCTTTCGTAGCCTGCTCCTCGGTCTCAAACTGAACCAGACCTTGTTTCTTACCATTCATCTCAAAGACTTTGCTATTGACAATGGTTCCATGCTCCTCTAGAACCATTATGACCCTATAACAAAACTTTAAGTCTCTATAGTACTTATAAACCGGTCAATAGAAATTAAATAGCAGATCAACCTGTAATGCAAGAATTTTGTCATTCATATGCAATTCTGAAAAACAATTATTACAGAAAAGCTCTCACCAGGCTTCCCCCCCCCCCCCCCCCGAGAGCACTGGACTCTCCACTGGTTCCACGCCAATCAGCTACATAAAGCAAAACAATGTTGAAATGGATTAAAAAATTATTAAAAGGACAACCGTTTCTACATACCTTGTCGATATCTTTTCCCTAAATTTATTATGTACTAAACTTGTTCATGTATAAACTGGCTTTAAGACAAACATAGTCTTTCGAACCCAAGAAGCCTGAGGCTTACATGGATTATCTAATACAAAATTTATTTCAGTTTTTATTTATTAATTGAAGGGTGGTTATACACAGCATTCGTTTGGCAAGTAATCAGAGCAGAGAAATCAATTCTTGTGCTGCATCCTCCCACTCTCTGAACCGGCATAGGGATCAATGACAACATTTATGACAGTTGGTTTCCTAGCAGAGAATGATTCTGAGAGAGCTGACTTTAGTTCATCAGATGTCCTAACAAGATAACCCTTTCCACCAAAAGCTTCCATCATAGTGTGGTACCCTGCATTTGGGACAAATGATGTCGGAGCAGGATCCCCTTTGTGAGGTCCATCTATCTCTTCTGGGCTTCTACGATCACCACCATATACACCACCATTGTTGAAAACAACCACCACCACAACCAGTTGGTATCGAACCAATGTCTGGATAAAGATAGAGCGTCAAATTATATGCTTGTGTTCAGAAAATGATTTGCAAGAGTAAAGCATATGCAGAAAAATGAGACCACAACATAGCATATAGTAAGAACCAAAAATTTATAAACTTAAAACTTGAGTGGTTTATACAATATTGAAATTCAGTTTTTAAACAAAAAGTGCATTTGGATCATGGTTCAAATTTACAAGCAAAATAACATTTTTGTTTGAAGGAAAATATATTCTCCGATTCAGACTAGAACAAGAGATATGAAACTTGTAAAGGCTTGGTTGGGGAAAAGGTAAACACCTAATTCCAGAATAACAAACTTGTTAACAAGTTTTCATAAGGTAAAAATCCAGATATCTCATATATGTGTGTCTTATGTTGCCCACTACTAACTAACAAATCTCTTTACTATCAGGAAAACCAGCTAAAATCTAAGCAAAAACACTCACAATATTGGTAATTGATTTAAAATGGAACTAGGGATTTTGCAGCATTGTACCATGGCTTATGTCTGTCAAGTATCACCAGATAAACACATTTATCTAATAGAGAACACCACACACAAACACGATTCTAAAACAATAGTAATGTAAAACAATGGAATATCTAATAGAGATCACAAAATATATACCTCAACTTCCATGGCACTGAACCCATATCCAGAATCTCCTTCAACGGCAACAATGAGGCGATCAGGATAAGCAACAGCGACAGCAATGCAATAACCAAGACCAACTCCCATAGTCCCCCAAGTGCCAGCATCCAACCTAGTCCTTGGCTCCTTCTGAACCAATACAGCTCGACCGACATCCATGGTATTAGCACCTTCAGAAACCACCACAGGAGCAGGACTTCCACCCCATTCCGAGATAGCATTTCTTATAATCCTCATAGGCGTAAGAAAATTAAACGGCACAACGTCCTTCACCAACTGAGCCTCCATCTTAGAAGCATTCTCCTTTGATTTTTTTGAAATAGCATCCACCCATGGATGAGTAAGAAACAGAAACGAAAAAGGAAAATAAACTTGGTTGAGGCAATTTACCGAACACTTAGTGTGCAAGTTGCAAAACGGTGGAAACGACAACAATTCGATACCGAATCGTAAACCACAACCTGCAACATACCCATCACAACCATTAGCAATAACATCGTAACTAACTTCCATGAACAATTCTAATAAAGTCCCATAAGGCCATACTTGTTCAAGCAATTCAGTCATCATAGCAATTCATTCACATGATAATCTCACTGTATTAACAATACAATAGCAACTTAGTTCATGACTTCAAATTCAAAACTAACTTTCATAACACTTTAACATATCATCCATTTCAATCTAACAATTTCCTTACATAACAATTAATTAACATGAACCAATCTTAACATCAAATAACCAAATTTACTAACGAATTTCTATAACAGTTTCTATTTTTCTAAACATCAAATTATATCCAATTCAACTTCTAACAGTCCAAAACCATCTAGCAACTATATGTTTGCAATGCCAAAATGCACACACCATAATAGAAAACTTCATGGCAATACAGCCTTATATTACAATCAACTTTTAACTGATTCATCAATTATACTTTTATCACAACTCAACAAACCACACTTAGCTGTCAGGTTCATCCTAATTTAACCATTCAATTAACTAAATATACTAACATCAACCTAAACTAATTCAAAGCTATCGCAAGTTACTAACTCTAATGCAAGATAGTTGTATAGAAAATTAATCTAGTGATTGAACCAATTATTTATTAAGATGATAATTGTAATTAGTTTTTCAACCCTTACCTCTGCATCTCTAAGTATATCCTCTGTAGCTACAAAACCATAGAAAACAAGGAATGAATGATTCATTTTGCTCCACCAATAATTCAACAAGTGATAGACATCGTTGTGTGCACTTATTAAAAGGATTCAGATGCCAAATGATGTTCAGTTCAACAAGTTGAAAACATCCAAATCATAATGAAAAAGATGAAGTGAATGCAATCAGTACAGCAAGTTTATATAACTTTAGTCGTTAAAATCCACTGTGCTTAAACATAAGTACAACAAATACCTAGTTTTGCACCCGAGTCTGCACTGAAATCTCTTAGTTTTTTCTTCAGGGCATCAGAATTGTCTGATACATTAAATTTGTTGTAGTGAATTATGCCAATAAAGTGGTGCTCTCACTAAGCCGGTAGCATTCCGAAAGTTGTGAGTCAAGGTATAAACAACTTGCAATGAAGAGTCACCAATAATATAAGCAACTGGAATTACATATGCAAACGAGCCTCCAACTGCTGCAGGTAATCTTGTTCCAGAAAGTGCTTGTAGAAGTGTGTTAATGGCAGCTACAAAAGGAAGGGTCTGTATAACCCTTGCCTTATCAACCTAGTATATAACAAGAAACCAAACAACTGTCAAAAGCAATAATATTGCATATCATAAGTATAAACAATGGATGAAAGTAACAACAGAAGGAAGCTGAAATTCAACTTACAGATCTTCCTCCCATAGCCGGAACGAGCAGTGAAGGTATCATGACACTCGTGCCAAGCATCAAAATGTAATTTTGAAATGCTAAAAGGATAGTTTCAGCTGCAAAAAAAGATACATTCACAATGAGGGGGAGAAAAATGCAATAGATAATGTAACGACAAAATATCGATAAGGTTATACAAAAAAATATACACATGCACACTAGACAGAATGTTCAACTGACAAATTATACCTTGATTCACAACGGTTTTCTGCATCAATGAGATGTTCAACAAGTCTCATTTAACAGGATACATCAAGTCTAAAATAGAACCATAAATCATTCATTGTTACACATACATAATTTAAACATGCTATTACAACAACAATAGATAGAATATTGAGCTTTTAGCATATCCACAACTTTCTGCACTTCAAGGATCCACAAAGACAAGGATATCCTTCTCCACCAACAAACTCATACTCATAACTATATGTCAACTCTTCACCCAAAGCAATCTGTTATCCAGAAAAACATTCAAATACTCATAATCATGCATTGCAATTTTTCATTCTTATAAACAAGAGAGTACTCACATCTCTATTTGCATAAAGACCAATATGTGCATGCTCACTATTCATGCTCTCTATAAAAACTTGATAATTTGCAAGATTCGGTGAACAACTGCAATAACGATAAGATCAAACCATCAATTATTTTCCAGTAAATACCATATATTTATGCATTAAATCTTTGCTTACCTGTTATTAATGAATCTAGACACATTTCCATATCGAGTAGAATCAATCATGTATCTGCGGGCATTTCCTTCGGTAATTCCACTCATATCATTACTGTGAGCCTTTTTTTTCCGTATCTGGTACAGACATAAACCTAGTAAGTATATCAAAGAAGACACACCAACGTTCCTACAACTTCGAACCTTTCTCGTCTTTTGTGCACCTCCGTCTTTTCTACAAATTCTCCGATATACTCACACACGAACGTTCCACAAAGAATGTCCTCGCCAGCCCTAACTCCCCATCCCTAAGAATCAAATAAAGCTTGTTAGCATAATAAGTCTTTTGAGTAATTTTGAATTATTTATCAAAAGAAGAACAATGGCAACCTTTTCCTTTGTTTTAAAGACTTCCAATTTAACTTGAACTCCCTTCTGCAATACTCTGTTCTGGCATGTTTTACTACATACCTTACACTTAACTGCATTATCATTATCATCATCATTGCGATTAGGAGGAGACTCTATCCATTGAAGAGCCTCGTTGTGATCATTACCAGAAAGTCAGAGTGTTTCTCCTAAGATGTTCCTTGCAATGAAATAATCATCCTTAATGACCGATACCGGATCAATATTCAATGGACTTTTCGGAGGTGCTGCACCTAAGTCTTCGCGAACCCTTCTCTTTGAAGTCGAACCACTGAAGTTTACTTTTGGTTTCCTTTTCAATCTACGACGTTTTGAATTTGAACTATTGTTTGTCTTAACACTGCTCAAATGCTTTCTGCAGAATGAAAAGCCAGGAAGTGAATGATGCTTGCATTTAGTACCAGCCATAGTTGTACCTCCACACATAGGCGTAGGAGCTTTAACTTGTTTTTCAGGTTTTCTGAAGAAATGAACAAAACAATATTTATCACTACCAATTGCTTGTCTCCTGCATTACCTTCCCTTGGCTTTGATAAACTTTTCGCACTGTCGACTCTTATAATTATCAGGTTCTACAAATAATTCAATAGCCTCTTCGTCATCCATAGGCATTTCCTCATCATCCATAGGCCTTTCTTCATCTTCCATGGGCCTTGATACCATTTCTGTGATGGGTGAAACATCAGAATCTACACCTTCGACTCCAATATCACTAAATTCATTCCTCAACTGACTAGGAAACTCAGTTTCCACGGGCACCTCCAAGGTACTTTTATGCGTCGAAGGTGTGCATGTACGAAGAATTTGATGTTTAGGCCTTTTAAAACCAGCTTGAAAGCTTGTTTGGCACAATCCATTAGAACTAGAAGCATGTGGCTGCGAGCCGTTACTGCGGGAAACCAAAAGATTTCTTGAAAACCATTTCATTACATCATGCTTCCAATTTTTCCATACCTCACCTAATTTTGGTTCTGGTGCTACATTCCAGAGACCGAAAACATCATTCCACAAAATGGAATCAATCAATTCCTAAACAACAGAATAAAATAATTAATCAAACAATTATAATAAAAGAAATATTTGATATCAAAATTATAAATACCTCATTTATCATCTCAATTTCTTCTGCAGTTTTTGCCATCTCACATCGATAAACCCAAGACTTAGAACAATGCAGTTTCCAATCAGCCACTATATAATGTTGCAGTAAGCTCTATAAATGAAAAAGATATACCACATTGTTACTAAGTAGTTGTGAAATTTTTAAACTACTAGTAAAATATAAGCTTAAGAAATAGAACTCACATTTTGCAGTCGCTGAACCATTCTTCCAATATCTGAATAGCTTCTAGAATCAGAAGCTTCCATAGCAAAATACTTCCAAGCCATTATATTGCGAGCATCTTCTATTAAAGCCTATATGTAATATAAATAAGTTATGCAAACAAATATTTCAAAGTATAAATAAATAGGAAATGTAAAAGAAGAATATGATATGAGCAAGAAGAACATACTTGAGAATGAATTTGTTCTTTAATATTCATCATTTCAATGACGAGGTTTTGCATTGTGAACCGTCGAGCCATAGTCAAGTCTTGTACAATTTCCAATCCATGTTGATGAGTTTCATATGCTATATGATAAAAACCTCCCTTTATAAGTTCAAATAAGCAGAGAAACCTACTGAGTCCTAAAATACTAAATCAACTAGCCTACCTGTGATAATTCTTACCAAAGCCTAGCAGCAGCAGGAGTTCAACACAAACCACACTTAAACTCACAGCAGCAGTCAGCCAGAAAAAACTTCCTCCAAGGATCTAAACAGAACTGAGGCACACAACAACAAGCTTAGAACCTCAATCAAATTAAACTCGCAAAACCCAGATACAATGTCTCAATCCTTCAACGCCCAAACCTAACCTGAAGAACAACAAACCTCCCTTCGACCCACCTTACTCCGCCGCACGCCGCTATCAACATCAGAAACCCATCGAAACCGTTAAACACCGGAAACATCCCTCCGTTAACATCAAAACAGAACCGGACCTAAACCCCTCTTTTAACCCTAACTTCAACATCCGAAAATCTTCAACACAGAATCCTCATTCCATCTCTCACCATTAACAGAACCACACACAAAACGCCGGAAAACTCCTTCAAAACCTCCATCGGAACCCCTTCCAGAAACCTTCACCTCCGACCGTTAATCCATCCCTCACTTCAAACTGGCTTCAAACCCATTTCATCCGTGAATCCAACTTCAAAACACCCCCAAAACCAGAACCGAAAGTGGAAG